GAGCAAAATAATGCTTTCACATTCATCTTAACCATTATCGTATAAGACATTTGATTAATACAAACTTCTTATAATTTTTTCTATTACGTATCAAGTCGTAGTAAACAGTTCAAGACAAAAGTCATTTTGAATGTTAATGTAATCTGTCGTTTGTTTTTAGTGAAAAGTTTAATTTCGAATATGCACAAAAAAAAACTCGACAAAAATGTACCTTGCAAGACTATAAACACCTTGCCACAGAGACAACTGTTAAAACATTTAGATTTTTTAGTTGATTTTCTATAAGTATAGTATTTACCTGATTGTAATATATAGATCCTATAATTTTGTACTTATTTTCATTTTGCTTTGTCCTTATCAATACACTCGTTTTATTTTCATCTAATAATCCATCATGCATGCATTTAATCGTCTGATTAAAAAAGTTATAAATGTTTTTTTTTTCAAAATCAACGTTGCACAAAAAGTTAAATATCTAACATCAATTGTAAATGTCTCGAGACATTAAGTTCAATTTACTGCAAAAAGATAAAATATAAAATGTACTATTTAATATTTCTTTTGAAAGAGGGACGAAAGATACCAGAGGGACAGTCAAACTCATAGATCGAAAACAAACTGACAACGCCATAGTAGTTACGACATAAGGAACATATCCGATATCATCTGTGAAACGGTTATTCCATAACGGTCAACCAACTCGTGATGGCGTCCGTAAAATTTACGAAGGAATGATTTGAACTATCTTCTCAACGTACTTAGATAAACACATCTAAACATGCGTTTCGTTGTTTAGGCCAGCAACCACATAGCAACGGGCACTTATGAGTTCATTTCTTTTGAAACCCTTGACAATACCTAAGTTAACAGAATTATATTTTTCTGTTTAAACTGTTTAGTATTTCATTGCAGCAGATATCATTATTCTCTTGACAAAAATAATGATTAATGTACCGAATAAGTTTTTTTTAAAGTTTTATAATCAATTATGTATAACCATTTATAAAGTGTTATTTTCACATATGACTTATTGCTAGGTTTATGAAGTCTGTATTGTAAAAAAAGTAAATATAGAACAAACAGAACTTTTGCAACGTTACATTTATTTATATTCAAATTATAGAATTGTAATATCAAAAACAAAACAATGATAAATGTTGAACGTACTATAGAATAAAACGTTATACACTCGCTAACGGTATCCAGTACGATATAGAATGGGCTTCTGTGTTGAAGAGTTTTTAATAGTTTTTGTATATTTACAACGACTTATATACGTATATTCAGTTTTTTTTTCATTTCAGAATGAAAGGTCATTCTTTTGAGGAAACAACCCAGACGATACCAAGTTTCAATGATGAGTGCTTCAAGGCATTAAATAATGACCTTTGTCAGGTCATTATGTACTCTGATTATAATACAAACTTTTTGAAAACATCATTTGAAAGTTATCGTGTGTTGTTGCCAATTGGGGTTTTCTATACCATTTTATATCTTAAATATTCCTTTACGTTATAGGGCAGACACAACCTTTAATTTACATCATTTATTAGAATAAAATACTAGCACCAGAACACGTCCACTACGCACAAAATTCTGTCAATTAAAATTATATTATATACTATCCTGATGATTATTTTTCAAAGAAAAATTGTATTGCCAGACAAAAAAGAGAAATCAATTAATCTAAATAAGTTTCTTTTCAATTGATTGAAAAATCATTTTGGTTTTCGCAGTACAAATGTCATAAAACGAGAGAAAAAACATAACATACTCATTTCATAAAGTTAAAATAATAAGTTATTTACCAAATGACTTGTGTTTTTCATATACCAAAACAGTTGATTTTTTCTTACTTCATGCAATCACAGTAAAAATTTGACTGAAATGAACAGTTATTTCCAATGTTTATATCTACATTGGTGAATTTTACTTCACCTTATGATTGAGACATTGGTCGTTATTATACCTAAGTGCATGAAAAAGAATATTCTACTTTGATCGGTAAAATGATTACAATTTTCTGCAAATCCTTGTAGAAAATAATCCATTGTTATGGTGCATAAGTAACAATGCATATTTTAAGGTTTTTCATGTCGTATAACACACCTTGGGGATTCAAGAATCCCTCACTAAAACAAGATATTTGTATCTGTACGTTGCCATTCTGTACTTTTGATGACTAAAAGTTGGACAAAATTCTAATTTTGTATTCTGTATTTAATTTTTAATTAGGAAAATTAGCTTAAAAGGAAAGTCCCTTAACAATTGGCAAAATCAAAAGCTCAAAAACATCAAACGAATGGAAAACAACCGTCATATTCTTGACTTGGTACGGGCATTTTCTTATGTAGAAAATTGTCGATTAAACCTGGTTTTAAAGCTAGCTAAACCTCTCACTTGTATGACAGTCGCATAAAATTCCATTATATTGACAACAATGAGTGAACAAAACAAACAGACATAATAGGTTAAAATGTAAAAAAATAGGGGTACAGCAGTCAACATTGTGTTATAATCTCAATCACTATAAAACAAACAAATATGTCAACAAATAAAAACAAAATGGCTTATATACAAAGCACATACGCAAAAATGAAACGCAATGATACAAAAAGTGACCACAGCAAACCAACACAATGGCGGGATGTACAAGTACCGAGCCACGCCTTAAGGATATTACCAAAAATAGACCAAACAGTAAACGTTAATAATTTATAAAGGCAAATAAAAGAACACTATAACTCGTAATTTATATGATAAACTACGTCAGTACTTAGAATCTATATATCAAGCCCATCATGTATTATTTGTGAAGTTGATACGGAATATTTATCAACAAGGTCTTTGTATCTTCCGATGCACATTTTTAGAAAAAGGACGAGACGTTCTTTGACATAACCCTGGTTCATCAACTTTCTGCTCAGACACTGGTGACGTTTTACAAAGTCTGAGTAGCAGCTGCAAGCTCTTGAATACCGAATGATTTAGGAAATGTATATACCATTTGCAGGTGAATTTGGTATATTGCTAATAAGTTGGGGGAAATTGATAATTTCAAAATTAAAATCGTCTCTAATTTTCCGCTCTTTGGTCGGTTTATTGTCTCTTTGACACATTCTCCGTCATTCTTTATTCTAATGTTTTTATTCTATTGTGAGGGGAAATACACTTAGATTGTATGTATTCTTACAGACCTTCGGATTTTTTTAGTATCCATATAAGATTAACGCTGGCCCTACAGCAGGTAGTTCACAATAATTACGTAGCCCGTGTTTGGTTACTGATAAACTTTTTAATGATAAACTGATCAACTTTCTTTTTAGTTTGGAAAGAGGTTTCGTGGGGAACTTGGCAGACCTAGCAATTTAACGTTGTTTGTAAGCCAGTTCTGAATCTTTGGTTGAAAATCAAAAGGAACATAGAACTGACCTGTGATTATTTAGGATTTCTTCCTTGGTAAGTGTTGTGGGGGTATATGTTGAGTTGGCAAGTGAATTGTCAATACTTTATTACTCTATGAAAAAGTTTTTGTTATATGATTTACAAACAGAAATGATGTTGTTCGGGACTTTATCTGCGGGAACAGCCACATATTTGTTATGGAAGTAGTGCTTAGCAATATTTTAATCTAAAAAAATTGTTTATTCTTATTTGTATCAATAACCCCACAGTATTAACACTTTCTGAAACAGTATCTGCGTCTTTGTCGCGTTAAGCCTGGCATAATCCACCAGTATTATAAAGTAGCATTTCTATCTAAGGAGTAAGCCTCACGGTACTTCGTGGATAACACATTATCATATGTCAGTGAAGGAACATATATTCTTCTTTTAAGGAATGACTTAATAAGGCCGTGTTCACACTAAATGTCGTATACTATAAACATGTTTACAAACAGTTTTATGTAATGTACACTGGTTTTACATTGTTCACATCTATACACTAGTTCAAATAACATGTACATGAAAATTGTCACAATAGTAAACTAGGTTTTATTTAAATGTTGAACGAAAGCCGTTCTTTTGATTCAGAGTACTTTTGTACTTTAGATATCTCGATTATGAAATAAAAACACAGGCTACAGCAGCGTGATCATAGACGAAAACGAAGGATTGATATGTTTAGGATATTCCAGCAACGCAGGTGTACTGCGTTTTTATCGTTTATGTTTCTTTCAGTTGCATTGAACGTTAAAAAGAATTTTGGACATATAAAATGCAAAAGTGAAAACTGTTTAGGTAGCGTCGTGGACGTTTATTTTTTAAAAAGTTTAGAAAAAAAAATAAAGAATGTGTCCATAGGACACAGATGCCCCCGCTTTTAAATATACGGCAAATTCTGCAATTTTTCCGTTTATAAAGAGATATAAATCAAGAATGGGGAAAGTGAGGCAACCCAAAATTCAAACTTGATCTGAGTTTGATGGTAATTAGTATTGTGTATAAGTTTCATAACATGAGGTTGAGGCAAACTAAAGTTAGAGAACGGAAACTAATTTTGGAACGTACGGATCGAAGTACGAACGGACATACAGACGGACAAGGGTAAAATTGTTGCCCCCTCAACTGTGGCGGGGCATAAAAGCACCGCCTTTCTTGTGGTAAGAACTAGAAATCCGTAACCAAAACAGTGGAAAAAAGGTTGTAATTACTTTTTTGTTACTAGTCACTAACACCTCGGGCTGTTTATTATTAGGTGCGTTTGACTGGAGTTATTATTGCGTAAACTCTGTCTTTTACTCCTATTCATCTGAATCTTTTCATTTATCTTTTTATTCATTCATTGCTGATTGCGTAATGTCCTGTGGCAAATATTTCATACATATATTTTGGAAAAGAGGGACGAAAGATACCAGAGGGACAGTCAAACTCATAGATCGAAAACAAACTGACAACGCCATGGCCAAAAATAAAAAGACAAACAGACAAATAATAGTAGAGATGACACAACATAGAAAACTAAAGACTAAACAACACGAACCCCACCAAAAACTGGTGGAAGATGTATTCTGACAAGAACAATTATGTAAAAAAAGATAAAAAAAAAAATTGTCTCAGATGAAGATCCAAGGTTGTACAGTTTTCGTTTTAGTACCTTAAACTCCTTTCAGTTCCTCAAAAAAAGTGACGGTTTTGATTGATGTTCAAATCTGTCCAATGGGCCTCATTTTTGATATTGTTTTTGTGTATATTTGAAATATGTAATAAGGTCTATAAAGTTTCCATTACTTGTTATAAGAAAAGCTCCGTAATTTTTTTCACAGGCGACAGTTTCGTCGTAAGTACACATTACATAAGAATCTGAGGCTCAGATTTGAGCTGCGAGCAAATGTGATCTTTTCAAACCCAACCAATATGGAAGAAGGTTACATATTTACCTACGCAATATATGAAAAGGGTGGGATAACAGAACCCCATGTGGCACCCCTGTTAATTAAGCATTGAAGTGGTCCCCCGAGATAAGAACCTTGCTGGCGTATTTAGATCTATGATTATGGAAATTTGTTTTTGAAGATGCTTATATTTTTTTTTGAAGAAAAAGAGTGAGGAATACATGTTGGATCTCAAAAGGTGATGGTTGCTTTCGCTACGGGCAATGTTTACCTTTAAGGTGTGAGAGTTTTTTACGCTTAGCAGATTGATTAAAGCTATCGTGTTTTTTCGCTACACGGGGACCGTTGTAAGGGTTTGTGTTAAGTTTCAGACCCGGAACAGAGTGAGATGTTTATTTAAGGCGACATCTCAAGGGAACAAACACAAACATAAACTAAGGAAACGGCATGAACTCCAAAAGGTGCAAGAGCGGGTTAGACAACTGGGTAAGCGTCTTCTACTGCTATACATGCACCACCCGCCATGCGATTTCACACTAAGTTCAAATGTCTTTTGGAAACACTTCTTAGTTAACAATTTCGAAGACCTCCATCAAATTTTGAATCAACAACTGATTTTGACTCAATCATTACTTATATGTTTTTATGTTTATTGGAATTTTTCAATAAAATGCAAACACGAAAAAATTACCTGTCGTTCTTAATTAAACGCACGTTAGTAAACTAACAATTTATCTTAATTTGTTATCCTTAAAAAAACATAGGCAGTACATTTCGAGATACTCACCGTAGCTAGGTAAAGATGCGCAATTCATATCAGGTATGCGATGGTGAAGCCTTTTCCTCCATTCCTCTGCACATATCCTTTCGAAGCTGAGACATTTGCACATCTGTATTTGATTTTCGGGGTAAGAAGTGAGATTCATTTTTCCATAACTTAGCACTGCTCGAAATGCCTTTTGTGATGCGGTTTATTGAGGTAAAAATAACCTTTTAAAACTTTTGTTTTTTGCATACATTAAATACATACATAGTTTTTACACCTTTATGTCAAAGTCCTCTGCTCTCTAAATCAGCACAAATGGTTAAGCTCAGTCACTTGTTAAATATTGAAACATGTCTTATACATGTATCACCGCATATATACGTTTTGTAAACGGACTACTTTTGAGTTTCTCAATTTGAGGCGCATTTGGGATATTGACCCAGCTGTGATGGGCTGTTTTTTTATAAATATATATCAAAATCATTTCAAGAAAAAAAAACTTAAATTATTTTTTTCAAAACGTAGGTCAAACATTGTTTAAGAATCTTTAGTGTTGTTCATGCAGTTAACTTTTTTTTCATTTTCAGCAAGATTTTCAACAAATTTAATTGGTACGATAGAGCAATATATCCCAAAACATTATGATTTCTTCAATTAGTTGAATGTCAAGTTTTAATAGTTTCTGGCATCCGGTACGAACAAAACTTTTGGCAAAAGCGGTCAATAATTTCCGTTCAAATTGAGAAGGTCGAAGATTTTCTAGACGTATTCAAAAAATGTTTTTGTCTATTAAAACAAGACTAGAAAGATTAACAATGATTTGTAGTTTAAATGCATGAACGGTGTTTTTTTTTTATACAGAATATTATGTTTCATTGTATCCAAAGTTTAATCCGAATTAAGTATCTTTAAATAACACAGACAATGTGTTTGGAGATAAATACCATAATTGTAATTTTCCTTTTTTTATTTCTTTTTCTTTTGTGTTGAATATTAAATAATGAAAACGGCAAAAGAAAACACAATATATCAAAGAAATTTTCAATATGTGACACAATTGTCTTCAGCCTTTACAAACATGTTAATCCACAACTAAAAATGCCGTTATTTATGCTCAAATAGTTTAACAATAAATGGCTTGTAACTTCTTGTAAACATGTTTTCCGATGGTTAATTGGAAGTACCGGTTAGTATTAACTCTAAACAAATTTGCGTTTAGATTTGATCAATATTTCGACAATTTCATAGACATTCCTCATATTTCAAACCAAAAACTGATCTACAATTCGACTTTGCTCTGGCATGTTATTTGTTTTTCATGTACATCCAGTTAACTTTATTTTCATTATGTTTTTCAACAAATGTTATCCATAACTTACATAGTAGCTATATTTGATCAAATAATTCACTATTGATATTGTCTGAAAATTCTAGTTTAGTTATTTTCTGGCGGTCTTTTGGAAACACTTATTAGTTAAAAATGCTGAACAATTTTCAATTACATACGAAAATTTCAAAAAATTCCATCAAATTTTAAATCAACAACTGATGTTGAATTAATCAATACCTTTACTTTTTCACGATTTTTTTTTTTAAATGTTTTAGTAAAATTCAGAACATTATTAAACCTATAATCTTCCGTCTCAAGTTAAACTGGAATGATACGTCAGAAACTGAAATAACACAAAACATTGACCAGGTTGTTATATCATTTCATTTAAAAACAAATTGTATAATTGAGAGAAAAAAATCAAATTCTGGAAAGCATTATCACAAGAAAGAGAGATATTTCCTCTTTTTGCCTTCACAACATTCATTTGAACCTTTTTGATGAGGAGTAATCAGTAAAAGCTTTATAGCTAAATAGTTGAAGCACTTCGTTCCTTAAAAGGTTTGACCATTCATCTTTTTCACTGAGATAAGACACTATGATTTGTTGCAGTGCATTAAATTGTAGCAATAACATTTTGAGATACTCACCGTAGCTGGGTAAAGATGAGCAATTCATTTCAGGTAGGCGTAAGAGGTAACCTTTCCTCCATTCCTTTGCCCATATCGTAAACTTGGATATGTATGATGGCTCGTTTCGAAGCTGAGTCATTTGCACATATGGGGTTAAATTTTCGGGGTACGAAGTGAGAATCATTTTTCCATAATTTAGCACTGCCCGAAATGCCTTTTGTGATACGGCATCTCGAGGTAAAAAGATCCCTTTCTTCTTAAAATAAGTTCTTTTAAAAATGCAGTTCTTTGCATACATTAAATAACTCCATAGTTTTGACACCTTCTTCAGGATCTTCTGCTCTCTAAATCAGCACAAATAGTTAAACTCAGACACTTGTTAAAAATTGAAACACGTCTAACATCATCAGACATATACTTTTTGTTAACGGACTACTTTTGAGTTCCTCAATTTGAGGCGCATTAGGGATATTGACCCAGCTGTCATGTTCTGTTTTTATTCTCTCTAAAATAAAAATGCATAAAACATTATAAGAAAAAAAAATATCTTAAACGATTTTTATCAAAACGTAGGTCAAACATTGTTTTAGAATGTTTAGTGTTGTTCATGCAGTTTACTTTCTTTTCATTTTCATCAAGATTTTCAACAAATTTTATTGGTACGATAGAGCTATATATCACAAAACATTATGATTTCTTCAATTAGTGGTCAATTGAAAGTACCGGTTGCTATAAGTGCTAAACCAATTTGCGTTCAGATTTGATCAATATTTCGACAATTTCATAGACATTCCTCATATCTAAAACTAAAAACTGATCTAGAATTCCACTTTGCTTAGGCATGTTATTTTGTGTTCATATAAATCCAGTTAACTTAATTTTCATTATGTTTTTCAACAAATGTTATCCATAACTTACATAGTAGCTTTATTTGATTAAACTATTGACTATTGATATTGTCAGAAAATTCTATTTTAAGTATTTTCTGTCGCTCATTGGAAACACCTGTTATTTAAAAACGCTGAACAATTTTCAATTAGATACGACAATTTAAAAGACTGCCATCAAATTTTAAATCAATAACTGATGTTGAATTAATTAATACCTTTCTCACATATTTCTTTTAATTTTTAAATTAAATTCAGAAATTTTTTAATCGACTAATCTTTCCGTCTCAGGTTAAACTGCAATAAGACAAAATATTACACAGGTTGTTATTTCAATTCATTTAAATACAAACTGTATAATTGAAACAAAAAAAATAAAATTCTTCAAAGTATTATCACAAAAAAGAGAAATGCTTACCCCTTTTGGCTTCACAACATTCATTTGAACCTTTTTGATAAGGAGCAATCAGTAGAAGCTTCTTATCCTAATAGTTGAAGCACTTCGTAGCATGTTTATCTATTGTCATAAAAATTCATAATATCAAATAAAATTAATAAAGTGTGCTAACTAAGTCCTTGTAATTGAATAAAGTAACATTTATTTTGAGTGGAAAATTGGTTTAACGTTAATTAAGCTCTAACAAAAAATTGTTTGCTAGCCCCTCTTTGTGATTAATGTAAGATAACTCTGGATAATTTTCCCAACATTTTATCATAACGGGGAGATAATGTAATTCGATTTTCATATAAAGTGTTTTCTACCCTATATACCACTTTGCCTCATAATCTCATTAAGAACAAATTCACACATCTAATTAAATGGGCATTTAAAAAGTCAGAATGCGAATATTCAAACTCTTTTAGGTAATTTTTTAGTAACAACAAACAAAAGAACTATGTCAATTGGACCTGCTTTGATACGATAACTGCACTTGGATTTTTACTAGGGAACATTTTTGTTCGCTATGGAGATTCCGTATATCGTCAAGTTATCAGAATTCCAATGGGGACTAACTGTGAACCACTTATTGCTGACCTGTTTCTGTATTGATATGAGTTACAATTTATGACTAAGATAAGCAAAGACCCATCGAAACAACATCTGATGCAAAAAGAGTTAATAACACGTTTAGATATTTGGATGATATTTTGGCTCTCAATAATGACGACTTCAGTATGTACACTAAAGAGATTTATCCTTCTGAACTGACTTTAAATAAAGCTAATACTAACAATGAACACTGCCCTTTCCTGGATCTTGATATCTATATCTTAAACGGAAAGCTTAATACCAAAATTTACGATAAAAGAGATGATTTTTCATTTCCTATTTTTAGATGGTGATGTTCACTTGTCACCATCTTTGCTCGTGTATGTAACAACGTATTTGATTTTAATGAAAGAAATCTCTGTTTTAATGAAAAATTATTGCACCAGAGTTTTCAATATCACAAACTTGTCAAAACATTTACTTTAACTTTTATCATCGGTACAAGGACATCATTCGTAAATATACATCAACATGCAGACATCTTATACGTTCAGGTATTTCACATCCAATCTTTTATGGTAATATTCTATACAAAGCACAAAAATGTCGTCATTCACCCCAAAAGCTAACCAAACCTTTAAACAGACAAAGATATAATTACGATACTGTTGTCAGGGCATTAAAGATGGCATATTTTGGAATTAATATTGATTCACTCATAGGGTCTTTGCATCGGAAATAAACACATTTATTCTAAAACCAGTTGTTGACATAATGCGGGTTATGTTCTTCTCATATATTTTATGATGGTATGATACTAAACGCCTAACGGGAGGGATTGTGCTTGATTTTCAAATGATGAAGACATAATCTTTCAATCAGTTTAAATGAGGTCTGGAGCTGGCATGTCAATATCTTCTAGTAGTCCTTTGTTAATTTATGTATCATTGTCATTTTGCTTAGTTTCTTCTGTTACCTATTCTGATATCGGTTTCGGACTTCTTTTGAACTGAGTTTTACTGTGCGTATTGCTGTGTGTTTGTTTATTCCACATTGGCTAAAGGTATAGGGGAGGGTTGAGATCTCACAAAACATGTTTAGCCCACCGCATGTTTGCGCCTGTCCCAAGTCAGGAGCCTATGGCCTTTGTTAGTCTTGTATGTTTTTTTAATTTTTGTTCATTTATATGTTTCGGATTTTAGTGTGACGTCCATTTTTACTGAACTAGTACACATCTTTTGTTTAGGGGCCAGCTGAAGCCCGCCTCCGAGTGCGGGATTTTCTCGCTGTGTTGACGACCCATTGGTGGCCTTGGGCTGCTTTCTGCTCTAAGGTCGGGTTGTTGTCTATTTGACACATTCCCCATTTCCATTCACAATTTTTTTTTCAAAAAAGTTCAAAAGATTTATGTAGGTTCCAATCATAATTTCTCACTTAAGCATTTAAGATAATTTTGAAGTATTTGGAATAAAGTGATGGTTATGGTGTTCTTTTTTTTTTTGTGTTTGTGTGTTAGGTTGGGGGAATTACACAGTATACATGTAATTGTCTTTAGGGAATCAAGTAATGAAGATAAATTAAGAAAATATGTCTGCTTCATTTGAATTCTGAAATAATTATATACACCATATGAAAAAAATAAATGCTTTTACAAGTGCAAGATCAATGCTGTTGGAGGTTAGATGATGCAGACAACAACTTAAAACAGTGTATTCTTGACAGCAGAATGAAACATGTGTAATTCAGGTGTAATACCACCATTGTTTTTCGCCTATTAGTCTTTTTAAATTTGCACTTTTCAAAAAATTATGCAGAATATTTTTGTTCAAATAAAGAAATATTTGTATATGAATAAAGTGTCCAGTACTACAGACACAACTTCACATAACATTTCATTGCATATAAGTTAATAACCATCATTGGAAGTTAACCAATCGAATGTTAATCCTTTTGTTTCCTGTGTACAAGCTTTAGTAGCCATGTAACCTCAAGTTTCCAAAATATTCTATAGAAACACCAAAAAAGAGGAATGGTGCTTTGAAACACCTAAGATATACGTTTATGACATCGAAAATTTTTACTGAAATGAAATGTGGGATTTATTTCCTACAACTGTCAAATTCAAGGGAATATTTTTTGTCGACCCTTTTTCGTATGCAACCGGATGTGACGTACTATGATTTGGTGGTATTACACCTTCACCTGAATATTTTACTTCAACTTAAAAGTAGACAGAATACTATTTATATAATATATTACCATAATACGGCTTTAACAGTAAACTATTCCAGGATTAGTTTGAGGCAGATGAACCATCTGTATTCTCACAGTAGATTCCCTCATCTAACAAAGTAACTTAATATGTGACTAAATATAATTTATAAAATAATGACAGGTTCTGTATATTGGTATAAAATAATTTTAAACGTTTAAAAAAAAATGAATAAAATTATAGATATACATAAATGTCTTTTAATAAACCAATGAGAAATACTAAAATCTATTAAATTTATAAATTTTGTAATGATTTGAAATTAAATCAAATAATTATACGTAAAGATGAACAAAGGAGACAATAAACGCATTGATTCGACCTGTTCAAAGAAGACAGTAAACGCATGGATTCGATAGACTTTTTGGAATTGAAACATAGTACAAAGGATGTCACTCGTGCATACAAATGACACACCAAACGAATTAATTAACACTATATTCGTGCTCCGGCTTTAATGAAAATTCTAAATTATCAATATTACCAACAGTTCTTAATCTATAGGATAGTGACTGCATACGAATTCTAACCCACAGAAAAGTATATTTGTTTGACTTTTTTATAAACCAACTCAGCAAAATGCACGAACTACTTGCTTTCATAGCTCATAGTTAACGTGCTTTTACATTGATATAATATAGCCGTTAAACATTATTTGCTTCTAACAGTATAAGACACACTATAGATTGTATGCTTGCATCAAATTACCCAAACAAAGATTTCATTAAAACCTGAACATTTTGACATTGTTTGTTCCATTTCTCTGAGAAAAGACACTATGATTTGTTGCAGTGCATTAAAATGTAGCACTAAAATTTTGAGATACTCACCGCAGCTGGGTAAAGATTAGCAATTCATTTCAGGTAAGCGGTAGAGGTACCCTTTTCCTCCATTCCTTTGCCCATATCCTGAACTTGGATATGTATGATGGCTCGTTTCGAAGCTGAGAAATTTGCACATATGTGGTTAAATTTGAGGGGTACGAAGTGACAATTATTTTTCCATAATTTAGCACTGCCTGAAATGCCTTTTCTGATGCGGCTTCTCGAGGTAAAAACATCCTTTTTTTTCAAACAATAAGTTCTTTTAAAAATGCAGTTCTTTGCATACATTAAATACCTCCATAGTTTTTACACCTTTATGTCATGATCCTTTGCTCTCTAAATCAGCACAAATATGTCTGCTTCATTTGAATTCTGATATAATTATATACAGCATATTAAATACTTTTACAAGTGCATGTTGAACTCATTCACTTGCTAAAATTAAAACACGTCTAATATCACCGGACATATACTTTTTGTTAATGTACAACTTTTGAGTTCCTTAATTTAAGGCGCATTTGGGATATTGACCCATCTGTGATGTGCTGTTTTTATTCTCTCTATAAATGCATAAAAACATTATAAGAAAAAAAATTATCTTAAATGATATTTTTAAAACGTAGGTCAAACATTGTTTTAGAATGTTTAGTGTTGTTCATGCAGTTAACTTTGTTTTCATTTTCATAAAGATTTTTAACAAATTTCATTGGTACGATAGAACTATATTTCCCCAAACATTATGATTTCTTCAATTAGTTGTATGTCAAGCGTTAATAGTTTCTAGCATCCAGTGCGAACAAAACTTTTGGCAAAAGCGTATAATAATTTCCGTTCAAATTGAGAAGACTGCAGATTTTCGAGACGTATTCATTTATTCTTTTGAAAAAAAACTAAAAGATTAACAATGATTTGTAGTTTAAATTGCGTGAACGGTGTTTGTTTTAACACAGAGTATTATGTGTTATTGTATCCAAAGTGTTATCTGAATTAAATATCTTTTAATAACACAGACAATGCGTTTGGAGATAAATACCATAATTGTAATTTTCCGTTTTTGTTTCTTTTTTTTTTCTGTTAAATATCAATTGAAGAAAAACGCAAAAGAAAATACAATATATCAAAGAAATTTTCAATATGAAACACAATTGTCTTCAGCCTTTACAAACATGTAAATCCACAACTCACAATACCGTTATTTATCTTCAAATAGTTAAACAATAAATGGCTTGTAACTTCTTGTAAAAATGGTTTCCGATGGTTGATTGGAAGTACCGGTTGGTATTAGCGCTAAACCAATTTGCGTTCAGATTTGATCAATATTTCGACAGTTTCATAGACATTCCTCATATTTCAAACCAAAAACTGATCTACAATTCAACTTTGCTCTGGCATGTTATTTGTTTTTCATGTACATCCAGTTAACTTTATTTTCATTATGTTTTTTCAACAAATGTTATCCATAACTTACATAGTAGCTATATTTGCTCAAAGAAGTCACTATTGATATTGTCTGAAAATTCTAGTTTAATCATTTTCTGGCGGTCTTTTGGAACACTTGTTAGTAAAAAAACGCTGAACAAATTTTCAATTAGATACGACAATTTCAAAGATTTCAATCAAATATTAAATCAACAACTGTTGTTGAATTTATCAATACTTTTTTACGTATTTGTTTTTAATTTTTAAGGAAAATTCAGAACTTTTTTAAATCTCTAATCTTCCGTCTCAAGTTAAACTAGAATGATACGTCAGAAACTGAAATAAGACAAAACATTGACCAGGTTGTAATATCATTTGATTTCAATACACAATGTTTAATTGAGAGACAAAAAATCAAATTCTGGAAAGTATTATCACAAGAAAAGAGATGCTGCTACCTTTTGGCTTCACAATATTTATTTGAACCTTTCTGATTAGGGGCAATCAGTAGAACCTTCATAGCTGAATAGTTGAAGCTCTTCGTTCTTCAAAAGGTTTGACCCTACACCTTTTTAACTGAGATAAGACACTATGATTTATTGCAGTGCATTAACATGTAGCAATAACATTTTGAGATACTCACCGCAGCTGGGTAACGATGAGCTATTCATTTTAGGTAAGCGGTAGAGGTAACTTTTGTTTCAATTTCTTTGCCATTATCATCAACTTGGATTTGTTTGATGGGTCGATTTGGAAGCTGAGACATTTGCACATTTGTGGTTAAATTTTCGAGGTACAAAGTGAGAATCATTTTTCATAATTTAGCACTGCCCGAAATGCCTGTTGTGATGCGGCTTCTCGAAGTAAAAAGATCCCTTTTTTCAAACAATAAATTCTTTTAAAAATCTAGTTCTTTGCATACATTAAAGACTCTATATTTTTTACACCACTATTTTATGTTCCTCTGCTCTCTGAATCAGCACAACTGGTTAAGTTCAGTCACTTGTTAAAATTAAAACATGTCTTAAATCACCACATATATACTTTTTGTTAACGGACTATTTTCGAGTTCCTCAATTTGAGGCGCATTAGAGATGTTGACCAAGCTGTCATGTGCTGTTTTTATTCTGTCTAAAATATAAATGCATAAAAATATTATAAGAAAAAAAATATCTGAAACGATGTTTTTAAAACGTAGGTCAAACATTATTTTAGAATCTTTAAGTGTTGTTCATGCAGTTAACTTTGTTTTCATTTTCATCAAGATTTTCAACAAATGTAATTGGTACGATAGAACTATATTTCCCCAAACATTATGATTTCTTCAATTAGTTGTATGTCAGGTTTTAATAGTTTCTGGCATCCAGTGCGAACAAAACTTTTGGCAAAAGCGTATAATAAGTTCCGTTCAAATTGATAAGGTTGACGATTTTCGAGACGTATTCAACAAACCTTTTTTTCTTTTAAAACAAGACTAAAATGATTTCCAATGATTTGTAGTTTAAATTGCGTGAATTTTTTTTTTTTATACAGAGTATTGGGTTTTATTGTATCCAAAGTTTTATCTGAATTAAGTTTCTTTGAATAACACAGACAATGTGTTTGGAGATAAATACCATAATTGTAATCTTCCGTTTGTTTTTCTTTCTCTTTTGTGTTAAATATTAATTGAAGAAAACGGCAAAAGAAAACGCAATATCTCAAAGCTATTTTCAATATGTGACACGATTGTCTTCAGCCTTTACAAACATGTTAATCCACAACTCACAATACCGTTATTTGTGTTCATATAGTTTAACAATAAATGGCTTGTAACTTCTTGTAAACATTGTTTCCGATGGTCAATTGGAAGTACCGGTTGATATTAGCGCTAAACCAATTTGCGTTCAGATTTGATCAATATTTCGACAATTTCATAGACAGTCCTCATATTTCAAACCAAAAACTCATCTACAATTCAACTTTGCTCTGGCATGTTATTTGTTTTTCATGTACATCCAGTTAACTTTATTTTCATTATGTTTTTTCAACAAATGGTATCCATATCTTACATTGTAGCTATATTTGCTCAAATAAGTGACTATTGATATTGTCTGAAAATTCTAGTTTAATCATTTCCTGGCGGTCTTTTAGATACACTTGTTAGTTAAAAACGATGAACAAAGTTTTCATTTAGATACGACAATTTCAAAGACTTCAATAAAATTTTTAATCAGCAACTGTTGTTGAATTTATCAATACCTTTACTTTTTTACGTATTTGTTTTTAATTCTTTAGGAAAATTCAGAACTTTCTTAAACCTCTAATCCTCCGTCTCAAGTTAAACTAGAATGATACGTCAGAAACTGAAATAAGACAAAACATTGACCAGGTTGTTATATCATTTCATTTAAATACAAACTGTATAATTGAGAGAAAAAAAATCAAATTCTGGAAAAAAGTTAAATCACAAAAATACTGAACTCCGAGGAAAATTCAAAACGGAAAGTCCCTAATCAAATGGCAAAATCAAATGCACAAACACATCAAACGAATGGACAACAGCTGTCATATTACTGACTTTGAAAGTATTATTACATAAAGAGAAATGCTGCCACCTTTAGGCTTCACATTATTTATTTGAACCTTTCTGATGAGGAGCAATCAGTAGAAGCTTCATAGCTGAATAGTTGAAGCACTTCGTTCTTTAAAAGGTTTGACCCTCCACCTTTTTCACTGAGATAATACACTATGATTTGTTGCAGTGCATTAACATGTAGCAATAAAATTTTGAGATACTCACCGCAGCTGTGTAAAGATGAGCAATTCATTTTAGGTAAGCGGTAGAGGTAACCTTTACTTCAATTTCTTTGCAAATATCATAAACTTGAATATGTATGATGGCTCGTTTCGAAATTGAGACATATGCACATATGTGGTTAAATTTTCGGGGTACGAAGTAAAAATCATTTTTTTATAATTTAGCACTGCCCGAAATGCCTTTTGTGATTCGGCTTATCGAGGTAAAAAAGATCCTTTTTTTCAAACAATAAGTTCTTTTGAAAATGTACTTCTTTGCATACATTAAATAACTCCATAGTTTTGACACCTTCATTGCATTTTCGTCTGTTCTCTACATCAGCACAATTGGTTAAGCTCAGTTACTTGTTAAAATTAAAACACGTCTAATATCACCGCACATATACTTTTTGTTAACGGACTACTTTCGAGTTCCTCAATTTGAGGCGCATTAGGGATATTGACCCAGCTGTCTTGTGCTGTTTTTATTCTGTCTAAAATATAAATGCATAAAAACATTATAAGAAAAAAAAAATCTGAAACGATTTTTTTAAAACGTAGGTCAAACATTGTTTTAGAATCTTTAAGTGTTGTTCATGCAGTTAACTTTGTTTTTATTTTTATCAAGATTTTCAACAAATGTAATTGGTACGATATAACTATATTGCCCAAAACATTATAATTTTTCAATTAGTTGTATGTCAAGTTTTAATAGTTTCTGGCATCCAGTGCGAACAAAACTTTTGGCAAAAGCGTATAATAAGTTCCGTTCAAATTGATAAGGTTGACGATTTTCGAGACGTCTTCAACAAACCTTTTTTTCTTTTAAAACAAGACTAAAAAGATTTCCAATGATTTGTAGTTTAAATTGAGTGAACGTTTTTTTTTTTACAGAGTATTGGGTTTTATTGTATCCAAAGTTTTATCTGAATTAAGTTTCTTTGAATAACACAGATAATGTGTTTGGAGATAAATACCATAATTGTAATCTTCCGTTTTTGTTTCTTTATCTTTTGTGTTAAATATTAATTAAAGAAAACGGCAAAACAAAACGCAATATATCAAAGGTATTTTCAATATGTGACACGATTGTCTTCAGCTTTTACAAACATGTAAATCCACAACTCACAATACCGTTATTTGTGTTCATATAGTTTAACAATAAATGGCTTGTAACTTCTTGTAAACATTGTTTCCGATGGTCAATTGGAAGTACCGGTTGATATTAGCGCTAAACCAATTTGCGTTCAGATTTAATCAATATTTCGACAATTTCATAGGCAGTCCTCATATTTCAAACTAAAAACTCCTCTACAATTCAACTTTGCTCTGGCATGTTATTTGTTTTTCCTGTACATCCAGTTAACTTTATTTTCTTTATGTTTTTTCAACAAATAGTATCCATATCTTACATAGTAGCTATATTTGCTCAAATAAGTGACTATTGATATTGTCTGAAAATTCTAGTTTAATCATTTCTTGGCGGTCTTTTAGATACACTTGTTAGTTAAAAACGCTGAACAAAGTTTTCAATTAGATACGACAATTTCAAAGACTTCAATAAAATTTTTAATCAGCAACTGTTGTTGAATTTATCAATACCTTTACTTTTTTACGTAATTGTTTTTAATTTTTAAGGAAAATTCAGAACTTTCTTAAACCTCTAATCCTCCGTCTCAATTTAAACTAGAATGATACGTCAGAAACTGAAATAAGACAAAACACTGACCAGGTTGTTATATCATTTCATTTAAATACAAACTGTATAATTGAGAGAAAAAAAATCAAATTCTGGAAAAAAGTTAAATCACAAAAATACTGAACTCCGAGGAAAATTCAAAACGGAAAGTCCCTAATCAAATGGGAAAATCAAAAGCACAAACACATCAAAGGAATGGACAACAACTGTCATATTCCTGACTTGGAAAGTATTATTACATAAAGTGAAATGCTGCCACCTTTAGGCTTCACAATATTTATTGGAACCTTTCTGATGAGGAGCAATCAGTAGAAGCTTCATAGCTGAATAGTTGAAGCACTTCGTTCTTTAAAAGGTTTGACCCTCCACCTTTTTCACTGAGATAATACACTATGATTTGTTGCAGTGCATTAACATGTAGCAATAAAATTTTGAGATACTCACCGCAGCTGGGTAAAGATGAGCTATTCATTTTAGGTAAGCGGTAGAGGTAACCTTTACTTCAATTTCTTTGCCAATATCATAAACCTGAATATGTATGATGGCTCGTTTCGAAGTTGAGACATATGCACATATGTGGTTAAATTTTCGGGGTACGAAGTGAAAATCATTTTTTTATAATTTAGCACTGCACGAAATGCCTTTTGTGATTCGGCTTATCGAGGTAAAAAAGATCCTTTTTTTTCAAACAATAAGTTCTTTTGAAAATGTACTTCTTTGCATACATTAAATAACTCCATAGTTTTGACACCTTTATTGCATTTTCGTCTGTTCTCTACATCAGCACAATTGGTTAAGCTCAGTTACTTGTTAAAATTAAAACACGTCTAATATCACCGCACATATACTTTTTGTTAACGGACTACTTTCGAGTTCCTCAATTTGAGGCGCATTAGGGATATTGACCCAGCTGTCTTATGCTGTTTTTATTTTGTCTAAAATATAAATGCATAAAAACATTATAAGAAAAAAATATCTGTAACGATTTTTTTAAAACGTAGGTCAAACATTGTTTTAGAATCTTTAAGTGTTGTTCATGCAGTTAACTTTGTTTTCATTTTCATCAAGATTTTCAACAAATGTAATTGGTACGATAGAACTAAATTTCCCAAAACATTATAATTTCTTCAATTAGTTGTATGTCAAGTTTTAATAGTTTCTGGCATCCAGTGCGAACAAAACTTTTGGCAAAAGCGTATAATAAGTTCCGTTCAAATTGATAAGGTTGACGATTTTCGAGACGTATTCAACAAACCTTTTTTTCTTTTAAAACAAGACTAAAAAGATTTCCAATGATTTGTAGTTTAAATTGCGTGAACTTTTTTTTTTTTTTACAGAGTATTGGGTTTTATTGTATCCAAAGTTTTATCTGAATTAAGTTTCTTTGAATAACACAGACAATGTATTTGGAGATAAATACCATAATTGTGATCTTCCATTTTTGTTTCTTTATCTTTTCTGTTAAATATTAATTGAAGAAAACGGCAAAACAAAACGCAATATATCAAAGGTATTTTCAATATTTGACACGATTGTCTTCAGCCTTTACAAACATGTTAATCCACAACTCACAATACCGTTATTTGTGTTCATATAGTTTAACAATAAATGGCTTGTTACTTCTTGTAAACATTGTTTCCGATGGTCAATTGGAAGTACCGGTTGATATTAGCGTTAAACCAATTTGCGTTTAGATTTGATCAATATTTCGACAATTTCATAGACAGTCCTCATATTTCCAACTAAAAACTCATTTACAATTCAACTTTGCTCTGGCATGTTATTTGTTTTTCATGTACATCCAGTTAACTTTATTTTCATTATGTTTTTTCAACAAATACTATCCATATCTTACATAGTAGCTATATTTGCTCAAATAAGTGACTATTGATATTGGCTGAAAATTCTAGTTCAATCATTTCCTGGTTGTCTTTTAGATACACTTGTTACTTAAAAACGCTGAACAAAGTTTTCAATTAGATACGACAATTTCAAAAACCTCAATAAAATTTTTAATCAGCAACTGTTGTTGAATTTATCAATACCTTTACTTTTTTACGTATTTGTTTTTAATTCTTTAGGAAAATTCAAATCTTTCTTAAACCTCTAATCCTCCGTCTCAAGTTAAACTAGAATGATACGTCAAAAACTGAAATAAGACAAAACATTGACCAGGTTGTTATATCATTTCATTTAAATACAAACTGTATAATTGAGAGAAAAAAAATCAAATTCTGGAAAAAAGTTAAATCACAAAAATACTGAACTCCGAGGAAAATTCAAAACGGAAAGTCCCTAATCAAATGGCAAAATCAAATGCACAAACACATCAAACGAATGGACAACAACTGTCATATTACTGACTTTGAAAGTATTATTACATAAAGAGAAATGCTGCCACCTTTAGGCTTCACAATATTTATTTGAACCTTTCTGATGAGGAGCAATCAGTAGAAGCTTCATAGCTGAATAGTTGAAGCACTTCGTTCTTTAAAAGGTTTGACCCTCCACCTTTTTCACTGAGATAATACACTATGATTTGTTGCAGTGCATTAACATGTAGCAATAAAATTTTGAGATACTCACCGCAGCTGGGTAAAGTTGAGCTATTCATTTTAGGTAAACGGTAGAGGTAACCTTTGCTTCAATTTCTTTTCCAATATCATAAACTTGAATATGTATGATGGCTCGTTTCGAAGTTGAGACATATGCACATATGTGGTTAAATTTTCGGGGTACGAAGTGAAAATCATTTTTTATAATTTAGCACTGCCCGAAATGACTTTTGTGATTCGGCTTATCGAGGTAAAAAAAATCCTTTCTTTCAAACAATAAGTTCTTTTGAAAGTGTACTTCTTTGCATACATTAAATAACTCCATAGTTTTGACGCCTTTATTGCATTTTCGTCTGTTCTCTACATCAGCACAATTGGTTAAGCTCAGTTACTTGTTAAAATTAAAACACGTCTAATATCACCGTACATATACTTTTTGTTAACGGAATACTTTCGAGTTCCTCAATTTGAGGCGCAATAGGGATATTGACCTACCTGTCTTGTGCTGTTTTTATTTTGTCTAAAATATAAATGCATAAAAACATTATAAAAAAAAATATCTGAAACGATGGATAAAACGTAGGTCAAACATTGTTTTAGAATCTTTAAGTGTTGTTCATGCAGTTAACTTTGTTTTCATTTTTATCAAGATTTTCAACAAATGTAATTGGTACGATAGAACTATATTTCCCCAAACATTATGATTTCTTCAATTAGTTTTATGTCAAGTTTTAATAGTTTCTGGCATCCAGTGCGAACAAAACTTTTGGCAAAATCGTATAATAATTTCCGTTCAAATTGATAAGGTTGACGATTTTCGAGACGTATTCAACAAACCTTTTTTTCTTTTAAAACAAGACTAAAAAGATTTCCAATGATTTGTAGTTTAAATTCCGTGAACGTTTTTTTTTTTTTATACAGAGTATTGGGTTTTATTGTATCCAAAGTTTTATCTGAATTAAGTTTCTTTGAATAACACAGACAATGTGTTTGGAGATAAATACCATAATTGTAATCTTCCGTTTTTGTTTCTTTCTCTTTTGTGTTAAATATTAATTGAAGAAAACGGCAAAAGAAAACGCAATATATCAAAGGCATTTTCAATATGTGACACGATTGTCTTTAGCCTTTACAAACATGTTAATCCACAACTCACAATACCGTTATTTGTGTTCATATAGTTTAACAATAAATGGCTTGTAACTTCTTGTAAACATTGTTTCCGATGGTCAATTGGATGTACCGGTTGATATTAGCGCTAAACCAATTTGCGTTCAGATTTGATCAATATTTCAAAAATTTCATAGACAGTCCTCATATTTCAAACCAAAAACTCATCTACAATTCAACATTCCTCTTGCATGTTATTTGTTTTTCATGTACATCCAGTTAACTTTATTTTCATTATGTTTTTTCAACAAATGGTATCCATATCTTACATAGTAGCTATATTTGCTCAAATAAGTGACTATTGATATTGTCTGAAAATTCTAGTTTAATCATTTCCTGGCGGTCTTTTAGATACACTTGTTAGTTAAAAACGCTGAACAAAGATTTCAATTAGATACGACAATTTCAAAGACTTCAATAACATTTTTAATCAGCAACTGTTGTTGAATTTATCAATACCTTTACTTTTTTACGTAATTGTTTTTAATTTTTAAGGAAAATTCAGAACTTTCTTAAACCTCTAATCCTCCGTCTCAGGTTAAACTAGAATGATACGTCAGAAACTGAAATAAGACAAAACATTGACCAGGTTGTTATATCATTTCATTTAAATACAAACTGTATAATTGAGAGAAAAACAATCAAATTCTGGAAAAAAGTTAAATCACAAAAATACTGAACTCCGAGGAAAATTCAAAACGGAAAGTCCCTAATCAAATGGTAAAATCAAAAGCACAAACACATCAAACGAATGGACAACAACTGTCATATTCCTGACTTGGAAAGTATTATTACATAAAGAGAAATGCTGCCACCTTTAGGCTTCACAATATTTATTTGAACCTTTCTGATGAGGAGCAATCAGTAGAAGCTTCATAGCTGAATAGTTGAAGCACTTCGTTCTTTAAAAGGTTTGACCCTCCACATTTTTCACTGAGATAATACACTATGATTTGTTGCAGTGCATTAACATGTAGCAATAAAATTTTGAGATACTCACCGCAGCTGGGTAAAGATGAGCTATTCATTTTAGGTAAGCGGTAGAGGTAACCTTTGCTTCAATTTCTTTGCCAATATCATAAACTTGAATATGTATGATGGCTCGTTTCGAAGTTGAGACATATGCACATATGTGGTTAAATTTTCGGGGTACGAAGTGAAAATCATTTTTTATAATTTAGCACTGCCCGAAATGCCTTTTGTGATTCGGCTTATCGAGGTAAAAAAGATCCTTTTTTTTCAAACAATAAGTTCTTTTGAAAGTGTACTTCTTTGCATACATTAAATAACTCCAAAGTTATGACACCTATATTGCATTTTCGTCTGTTCTCTACATCAGCACAATTGGTTAAGCTCAGTTACTTGTTAAAATTAAAACACGTCTAATATCACCGCACATATACTCTTTGTTAACGGAATACTTTCGAGTTCCTCAATTTGATGCGCAATACGGATATTGACCCAGCTGTCTTGTGCTGTTTTTATTCTGTCTAAAATATAAATGCAATAAAAACATTATAAAAAAAAAATATCTGAAACGATTTTTTTAAAACGTAGGTCAAACATTGTTTTAGAATCTTTAAGTGTTGTTCATGCAGTTAACTTTGTTTTCATTTTCATCAAGATTTTCAACAAATGTAATTGGTACGATAGAACTATATTTCCCCAAACATTATAATTTCTTCAATTAGTTTTATGTCAAGTTTTAATAGTTTCTGGCATCCAGTGCGAACAAAACTTTTGGAAAAAGCGTATAATAATTTCCGTTCAAATTGATAAGGTTGACGATTTTCGAGACGTATTCAACAAACCTTTTTTTCTTTTAAAACAAGACTAAAAAGATTTCCAATGATTTGTAGTTTAAATTGCGTGAACGTTTTTTTTTTTTTATATACAGAGTATTGGGTTTTATTGTATCCAAAGTTTTATCTGAATTAAGTTTCTTTGAATAACACAGACAATGTGTTTGGAGATAAATACCATAATTGTGATCTTCCGTTTTTGTTTCTTTCTTTTTTGTGTTAAATATTAATTGAAGAAAACGGCAAAACAAAAGGCAATATATCAAAGGTATTTTCAATATGTGACACGATTGTCTTCAGCCTTTACAAACATGTTAATCCACAACTCACAATACCGTTATTTATGTTCATATAGTTTAACAATAAATGGCTTGTAACTTCTTGTAAACATTGTTTCCGATGGTCAATTGGAAGTACCGGTTGATATTAGCGCTAAAACAATTTGCGTTCAGATTTGATCAATATTTCGACAATTTCATAGACAGTCCTCATATTTCAAACCAAAAACTCATCTACAATTCAACTTTGCTCTGGCATGTTATTTGTTTTTCATGTACATCCAGTTAACTTTATTTTCATTATGTTTTTTCAACAAATGGTATCCATATCTTACATTGTAGCTATATTTGCTCAAATAAGTGACTATTGATATTGTCTGAAAATTCTAGTTTAATCATTTCCTGGCGGTCTTTTAGATACACTTGTTAGTTAAAAACGCTGAACAAAGTTTTCAATTAGATACGACAATTTCAAAGACTTCAATAAAATTTTTAATCAACAACTGCTGTTGAATTTATCAATACCTTTACTTTTTTACGTATTTGTTTTTAATTTTTAAGGAAAACACAGAACTTTCTTAAACCTCTAATCTTCCGTCTCAAGTTAAAGTAGAATGATACGTCAGAAACTGAAATAAGACAAAACATTGGCCAGGTTGTAATATTATTTCATTGAAATACAAACTGTATAATTGAGAGAAAAAAAATCAAATTCTGGAAAAAAGTTAAATCACAAAAATACTGAACTCCGAGGAAAATTCAAAACGGAAAGTCTCTAATCAAATGGCAAAATCAAAAGCACAAACACATCAAACGAATGGACAACAACTGTCATATTCCTGACTTGGAAAGTATTATTACATAAAGAGAAATACTGCCACCTTTAGGCTTCACAATATTTATTTGAACCTTTCTGATGAGGAGCAATCAGTAGAAGCTTCATAGCTAAATAGTTGAAGCACTTCGTTCTTTAAAAGGTTTGACCCTCCACCTTTTTCACTGAGATAATACACTATGATTTGTTGCAGTGCATTAACATGTAGCAATAAAATTTTGAGATACTCACCGCAGCTGGGTAAAGATGAGCAATTCATTTTAGGTAAGCGGTAGAGGTAACTTTTGCTTCAATTTCTTTTCCAATATCATAAACTTGAATATGTATGATGGCTCGTTACAAAGTTGACACATATGCACATATGTGTTTAAATTTTCGGGGTACGAAGGGAAAATCATTTTTTATAATTTAGCACTGCCCGAAATGCCTTTTGTGATTCGGCTTATCGAGGTAAAAAAGATCCTATTTTTCAAACAATAAGTTCTTTTGAAAATGTACTTATTTCCATACATTAAATAACTCCATAGTTTTGACACCTTTATTGCATTTTCGTCTGTTCTCTACATCAGCACAATTGGTTAAGCTCAGTTACTTGTTAAAATTAAAACACGTCTAATATCACCGCACATATACTTTTTGTTATGGACTACTTTCGAGTTCCTCAATTTGAGGCGCATTAGGGATATTGACCCAGCTGTCTTGTGCTGTTTTTATTCTGTCTACAATATATAAATGCATAAAAACATTATAGAAAAAAATATCTGAAACGATTTTTTTAAAACGTAGGTCAAACATTGTTTTAAAATCTTTAAGTGTTGTTGATGCAGTTAACTTTGTTTTCATTTTCATCAAGATTTTTAACAAATGTAATTGGTACGATAGAACTATATTCCCCCAAACATTATAATTTCTCCAATTAGTAATATGTCAAGTTTTAATAGTTTGTGGCATCTAGTGCGAACAAAACTTTTGGCAAAAGCGTATAATAATTTCCGTTCAAATTGATAAGGTTGACGATTTTCGAGACGTATTCAACAAACCTTTTTTTTTCTTTTAAAACAAGACTTAAAAGATTTCCAATGATTTGTAGTTTAAATTGCGTGAACGTTTATTTTTTACAGAGTATTGGGTTTTATTGTATCCAAAGTTTTATCTGAATTAAGTTTCTTTGAATAACACAGACAATGAGTTTGGAGATAAATACCATAATTGTAATCTTCCGTTTTTGTTTCTTTCTCTTTTGTGTTAAATATTAATTGAAGAAAACGGCAAAACAAAACGCAATATATCAAAGGTATTTTCAATATGTGACACGATTGTCTTCAGCCTTTACAAACATGTTAATCCACAACTCACAATACCGTTATTTATGTTCATATAGTTTAACAATAAATGGCTTGTAACTTCTTGTAAACTATGTTTCCGGTGGTTAATT